ATAAACTATTATTTAAACTATTATTAAAATTATTATATAAAATTAAAAATTTATTAAAATCTTTTAGGTTTATAATAATCTTATATAAAAAAGAAAAAAACTTATTAAACAATGATTAATAAATATTTTTCAAAATTTTTTTTTGGTTTTTCTTTTATTGATTCATAAAAAATTATTTCTTAAAACTTGTTAAGCAATATAAATCAATTTATATTGCTATATTATTAAAGTCTATAATATTATGTTTTTTGTTTTTAATATAAATTTCAAATTCAATACTTTAGAGAAAAAGATATTTTGCACAATTATATAATAATTATTTCTAGGATAGGAATATGATACTATCTAATGGTGCCTCTTATTCTTCTGCAATTGGAATTGGAATTAGTTTTTTATGGCATCAATTAGTATCTTTGGACAAGTGATTAAAAATAAGGACAATAGCCATAATGAAATTGCATTGATGTAGTTATTGTATCAAAAATAAGCTTTTTGATATGAATGCAAATAATATCTAAATTTATGCAAAACCTAGCTAGATCTGAATGTAGTTACGGTGATAAATTGTTATGAACTTTGGTCTACAAACACGGTTAGAATAAAGATTCAAGTATGCATATAACTAAGTAATATCACGGATAGTTTATTTTTATATATTGTATATAATAACATGCCGTACGTTTACAACTTGTGTCATAATAATTTTCCGACAAAAAATCTCCTAAATCTAAAGAACCCTAAGCATATTTATATATTTGCTTATTCAATATATTTTTTTACTTTTCATGTATAACGCCAAACTCGCCAATAGCTCAAAACAAAAGTTCAAATCCTCCCTGCCAGGTTTAAATCCTATAAGATATATTTTGACTACCAAACTGAAATAGTTTCCTACCTGAGTTCTGATCACCCACTCAAAATATATGATTGCTCTTCGAGTTTTAATATTTCTTCTTGCATATTTAAAAGAGATTGTAATTCCTCTTGGGTAAACTTTGATTGTAAAAGTGTCTGACAAGTAACTAACTGTCCTTGTAGTTGTCCTTTTGCGAAATCATCGCCATTTCTGTTGCTCTGCTCGATAATTTGTTTTCGAGTTTGCAAGAAAAGTTCTAATATTGGTTTCAAATTATCGCCTGCTTTATTTTTGCTATTTATAGTTAACTGATCAAACCGTTCTTTTTGCTGTTGAAAGTAAGGTGTGAAGTCTATTAACTTAAGTCTCTTAATTTCTTCTTTTAAATTGAAGTAGTCAAATTCACTACCAGCCAATACTATTTTATTTAGTTCTTGAAACTGGTGAAGAGTAGGTTTTTCATTTGCTTCCGTCTGTAAGTCCTTTATTTGTTGATTTTTTTCGGTGAGATCTTGTGTCAGCCTTTCTACTTCTGTTTCTAATCGCTCCAATTTTCGATCTTCAACTATATAGTAGGGTATATAGCATTGATGTTCTAACTTATTTTCTACTTTACGGACACCCGTTCCCCAAGATACTATTACTCGACCAAGTTGTCTTTCTTTAACAAAAAGCTTACAATAAGTATTATTAAAAGATGTGTAACCAAATAACCAGCATAACTTCTCGTTTTCACTAATATCGATACTATCCAGATTAGTGAAATTGATATTCTTTGAAAAAGTAATTTTCACGAGATTAGGAAATTGTGCTAGGCTTATGTCGCCAGTTATATTCTCATTGTCATAAACTATAAGTTCCACGTCCGAAAAAGAAGGAACTTCAGTACTCCCTTTGAAAATAATATGCTTGGTCTTGGTTTTTATGTCGAGTTGTAAACCATCTAATGTTTCTTGATTCATGGTTATTCTGGATTCTAACTGTTTTTCCTGAACTGGTTGGTGTACAAACATATTTACTTCTAATTTTCTTCATAAATTTTCAGAAAATTAGGAATATTAAATTATTGGAGTAGAAAATCAAAACAACGTTGCTTTATATTTCTAAATACGCTAATCTATTCCTTTTAAAGAAAAATCATCCAAATATGTTTCATGATACGTAATTACATCAGCTTAGGGGTCAGATCCGTTTATTTAATTAATCGAATAAATCGAATAAATCAAGATATTTGGTTTATCGAATAAATTTTA